AGTCTTTAGGGTTTTCTAGGTATACAGTCATATCATCAGCAAACAGCCACAGTTTTACTTCCTCTACCGATTTGGATACCTCTGACTTCTTTCTCTTGTCTGAGTGCTCTAGCTAGGACTTCCAGTACTGTGTTGAATAGAAGTGGTGAAAGTGGACATCCTTGTCTGATTTCATTTCTCAGGGGGAATGATTTCAGCTTTTCCCTGTTCAGTATAATGTTGGCTGTGGGTTTGTCATAGATAGCTTTCATTACCTTAAGGTGTGTCCTTTCTATGCCCATTTTGCTGAGGGTTTTAACCATAAAGCGATGCTGGATTTTGTCAAATGCTTTTTCTGCATCTGTTGAGATGATCACGTGATTCTTGGTTTTAATTCTGTTTATGTGGCGTATCACATTTATTGAGTTGTGGATGTTAAACCATCCATGCATCCCTGGTATGAAACCCACTTGATCATGATGAATTATCTTTTTGATGTGATGCTGGATTCAGTTAGCTAGTATTTTGTTGAGGAATTTTGCATCTGTGTCATCAGGAATATTGGTCTGTAGTTTTAATTTTTTGTTAGGTCCTTTCCTGGTTTTTGTACTAGGGTGATACTAGCGTCATAGAATGATTTAAGGAGGAGCCCCTTTTTCTCTGTCCTCTGGAATAGTGTCAATAGGATTGGTGCTGGTTCCTCTTTGAATGTCTGACAGAATTCAGCTGTGAATCCTTACGGTCCTAGACTTTTACTTACTGGCAATTTAAAAATAATTATCATTTCAGTCTTGCTGCTTGTTATTGGTCTGTTCGGAGTTTCTATGTCTTCCTGGTTTAATATAGGAGGGTTGTGTATTTCCAGGAATTTATCCATTCCCTCTAGGTTTTCTAGTTTAGGCGTGTAAAGGTGTTCATAGTAGCCTTGAATAAACTTTTGTATTTCTGTGGTATCAGTAGTAATATTTCCCATTTCATTTCTAATTGAACTTATTTGGATCTTCTCTCTTCTTTTCTTGGTTAATCTTGCTAATAGTCTGTCAGTTTTATTTATCTTTTCAAAACCAGCCTTTTGTTTCATTTCTCTTTTGCATTTTTTTTTGTCTGTTTCAATTTCATTTAGTTCTGTTCTGATCTTTGTTATTTCTTTTCTTCTGCTGCATTTGGGTTTAGATTGTTCTTGTTTCTCCAGTTTTGTGAGATGTGGCTTTAGATTGTCTGTTTGTGCTTTTTCAGACTTTTCAATGTAGGCATTTAATGCTCTGAACTTTCCTCTTAGCACAACTTTTGCTGTATCCCAGAGGTTTTGATAAGTTGTGTCACTGTTATTGTTCAGTTCAAAGACTTTTTAAATTTCGATCTTGATTTAATTGTTGACCCAACAATCATCCAGGAGCAGGTTATTTTATTTCCATATATTTGCATGCTTTTGAGGGTTCCTTTTGGAGTTAATTTCCAATTTTATTCCACTGTGGTCTGAGAGAGTACTTGATATAATTTTGATTTTCTGAAATTTACTGAGACTTGTTTTGTGCCCTATCATATGTTCCATCTTGGAGAATTTTCCATGTGCTGATGAATAGAATGTATATTCTGCAGTTGTTGAGTAGAATGTTCTGTAAATATCTGTGAAGTCCATTTGTCGTAGGGTATAGTTTAAGTCCATTGTTTCTTTGTTGACTTTCTGTCTTGATGACCTGTCTAGTGCTGTCAGTGGAGTATTGAAGTTCCCCACTGTTATTGTGTTGCCATGCATCTCATTTCTTAGGTCTATTAGTGATTGTTTTATAAATTTGGGAGCTCCAGTGTTAGGTGTATATATATTTTGGATTGTGATATTTTACTGTTGGACTAGTCCTTTTATTGTTATATAATGTCCCTCTTTGTTTTGTTTAACTGCTCTTGCTTTAAAGTCTGTTTTGTCTGTAAGAATAGCTACTCCTGCTCACTTTTGGTGTCCATTTGCATGGAATGTCATTTTCCACCCCTTTACTTTAAGTTTATGTGAGTCTTTATGTATTAGGTGAGTCCCTGAAGACAGCAGAAATTTAGTTGGTGAATTCTTATCCATTCTGCCATTCCATATCTTTTAAGTGGAGTATTTAGGTCATTTACATTCAGCGTTAGTACTGAGACATGAGGTACTATTCTATTCATTGTGCTGTTCGTTAGTATTGAGATGTGAGGTACTATTCTATCCATTGTGCTGTTCGTTAGTACTGAGATGTGAGGTACTATTCTATTCATTGTGCTGTCTGTTGTCTGACTACCTTGTGTGTTTTTTTTTTATTGTGTTATGGTTATATAGGTCCTGTGAAATTTCTGCTTTAAGGAGGTTCTATTTTGGTGTATTTCAAGGATTGGTTTCAAGATTTAGAGCTCCTTTTGACAGTTATTGTAGTGCTGGCTTGATAGTGGCGAATTCTCTCAGTATTTGTCTTAAAAGACTGTATCTTGCTTCATTTATGAAGCTTACTTTGGCCGGACACAAAATTCTTGGCTGATAATTGTTTTGTTTATGGAGGCGAAAAATAGGACCCCAATCCCTTCTAGCTTATCGGGTTCTGTTACAGAGGGGGTTCATAGACCTCACACAAGAAGGAATTCTGGGTGAGTCCACAGAGTAAAGTGAAAGCAAGTTTATTAGGAAAGTAAAGGAACAAAAGAATGGCTACTCCATAGGCAGAGCAGCCCCGAGGACTGCTGGTTGCTCATTTTTATGGTTATTTCTTGATGATATGCTAAACAAGGGGTGTATTATTCATGCCTCCCCTTTTTAGACCATCTAGGGTAACTTCCTGTTGTTGCCATGGCATTTGTAGACTGTCATGGCACTGATGGGAGCTTAGCAGTGAGGACGACCAGTGACCTCTGGTCACTTTGGGTTTTGGTGAGTTTTAGCCGGCTTCTTTACTGCAACCTGTTTGATCAGCAAGGTGTTTATGACCTGTATCGTGTGCCAACTTGAGTCTCATCCTGTGACTTAGAATGCCTTAACGGTCTGGGAATGCAGCCCAGTAAGTCTCAGCCTCATTTTACTCACTGTGTGCCACCATATGCCTTTTGAACTTCAAGATGGAGTTGCCCTGGTTCACATGCCTCTGACAGTTTTTGCTCAGAAATCTGCTGTTGCTCTGATAGGTTTTCTGTTATAGGTTACCTGATGCTTTTGCCTCACAGCTCTTAAGATTCTTTCCTTTGTCTTTGCTTTGGATAATCTCTTGACTGTGTGCCTAAGTGATGAGTTTCCCAGGTATTTGAGCTTCTTGTATTTGGATGTCTAGATCTCTAGCAAGGCCAGACAAGTTTTCCTTGATTATTTCCTCAAATAGTGTTTCCAAACTTTTAGGTTTCTTTTTTTTCCTTGGGAACACCCATTATTCTTAGATTTGCTTGCTTAACATCATCCCAAACTTCTTGCTTTGCTCATTTTTAAAAATTTTTTTTTCTTTGTCTTTGATGGATTGGGTTCACTCGAAAGCCAGTCTTCAAGCTCTGAAGTTCTTTCTTCTGCTTTTTCAATTCTATTGCTGAGACTTTGCAGTGCATTTTTTATTTCTGTAAGTGTTTCTTTGGTTTATAGAAGTTGTGATCGTTTTTTATTTATGCTATTTCACTGAAGAATTTTCCTTTCATATTCTGTATAAGTGTTTGATTTCTTTAAGTTGGAGTTCACCTTTCTCTGGTGCCTCCGTTATTAGCTTAGTAATTAACCTTCTGAATTCTTTTTCTGGCAATCCAGATATTTTATCTTGGTTTGGATCCGTTGCTGGTGTGATATTTTGGGGGGTTGTTAAAGGGCCTTGTTTTGTCATATTACCAAAATTGTTTTTCGGGTTCCTTTTCATTTGGGTGGACTATGTCAGAGGGGAGATCTGGGACTCAAGGGCTGCTGTTCAGATACCTTTGTTTCAAGGGGTTCTCCCTTGATGTGGTGTTCTCCCTCCTCCCCCAGGGATGGAGCTTCCCGAGAGCCAAACTGCAGTGATTGTTTTTGCTCTTCTGGGTCTAGCCACCCAGTGGAGCTGCTGGGCTCTGGGCTGGTACTGGGGAGTGACTGCTGAGAGTCCTGGGATCTAATGGAGGGCGCAGGGGCGAGAAGTGACTGCTGAGAGTCCTGGGATGTAATGGAGGGCGCAGGGGTGAGAAGTGACTTAATGGAGGGCGCAGGGGTGAGAAGTGACTGCTGAGAGTCCTGGGATGTAATGGAGGGCGCAGGGGCGAGAAGTGACTGCTGAGAGTCCTGGGATCTCGTGGAGGGTGCAGGGGCGAGAAGTGGACTCTACAGGGTCCTTGGTTGTGTTTTTGTTCAGTGTGCTGGTTTTGTGTTGGTTGGCCTCCAGCCAGGGGTTGGTGCCTTCAGGAACACATCAGCTGTGGTCCTGTAGGGAGGAAGCAAACTTGCCATAAGGTTGCCTGGTTACGTATTCAGGTTTCTTAGGTGGTGGGCAGGGCCACAGAGCTCCCAAGAGATTATGGCCTTTGTCTTTGGCAGCCAGGGCTGGTAGAGAAGACCACCGGGGGCAGCGATAGGTGTGTCTGAGCTCAGATTCTCCCTGGGCGGGGATTGCTGCGGCTGCTGTTGGGACTGCGATGTGGTTTTCAGTCTAATGGAGTTATGTTCCTGAGGGGATTATGGCTGCTTCTGCTGGGTCACACAGGCCGCTAGGAAAGTGGGGGAAAGCCAGCAGTCACAGGCCTCATCCCGCTCCCATGCAGCCCGCAGTCCTGAAGGCTGGTCTCACCCCCACCGTGTCCCCACGGCAGCACGGAGTCTGTTTCCAGGCAGCTGGTGACTGTGACTGAGAACTTGCCCCAGACCACCAGCCTCCCTGCTGAGCAAGCAAGCGGCTCACATCTTTTCAGAGTCTCAGGGAGCCTGCAGTGGCGATACAGTTCCATCAAAGGGTCTGTGGATTCTCTTAGTTTACCTGGTATGTTGCTGTGGTGGTTCTTGGATCAAACATTCACAGTGTGAGTCCCCACACGCTGCTCAGTCTGTGACTGGGAGCCGCAAGCTAGTCCTGCCTCTTCCCTGCCATCTTCTGTGAGACCAAAGGACTTAGTTTTCTGTCAGTGTCTCACATGGAAGGTTCAAGAGGAGGCTGGCTCATCAGTGTGAAAATCCAAATCTTAAGGGACTGAACATAATGGAGTAAACAGAACATACTGGTGTCCGTATGTTGGCTTATGTTTTCTTTCTTCAGCTAGGTAGTATGTTTCCTACTCATTTCTTAACACGGAATTTTTCTTTTCCCCACAGGAAGGAAAAGCTGATGCGATGCTCTCAGTGCCGCGTTGCTAAATACTGTAGTGCTAAGTGTCAGGTAAGACTTTTCAGCCATATATAAGTGAAGCTTTCAAATTATTTACTCTTAAATTTGTCCTTTACTATACCTGTTGCCTGTGTCTACTTCTTTACAGCCTTTAACTTACTTTTACTTGTTATTCACCTGCTGAGTCACACAGGTCGCCAGGGACATTAAAATGTTAAAACTAATATTAAATATATATGATGAAAAATTGGGTGTGTGTGTATATGTCTGCTATGTGAAAGTCAATGTCTATTCCTCCCCATCTTATTGCCCCCTGACTTCAATTCTCATTTCCACTGTTAAGTTTCTCATGTGTCTATGCAGCATTTACTTGTGCAGACATGTTTGTATATCTATATCCTATGTTTAAAAAAACAAATATACGTTTGTATATATAAAGTACACATATTCTTGTGTACTTTGATTTTTTTTTTTTCATTTAACAATCTACTTTGAGGAACATTTTGTATCCCATATGTTTCATTGTATGAATTGACCATAATAACAATTTCTTTGTTGATGAATACTTAGAACTTTTATAATATTTGGTATTGCCAATAATGCACTTCACATCCTGTCTTGCACATTTTTGCACACTTCCCCAAATTAACAGTAGGATAAATTCTTCTTATTGTATTGATTGTTGAAAGGATATATGCCTTTTGAATTTTTAGAGATAATGCCAAATTTCCTGCCAAGAGTTTGAGTTAATTCACGAGTACTGTTGTTAACATCTTTGAAATTCTTGAAAGGATGTATAATTAACATTCAACATGACCTTTTCTTCTAACCTTATGATTAATCATTTAATAAGAAATGTAATTATGTCCTAATGAGTTACATCTTATTAAAAAGTCTAATTAGAGGTTTTGTGTCTGTGTCACTCGCCTCCTCCCCGCCACCCTCCACTCATCCTTTTTGTTTCTTGTGTTTTGTATATGCACACCTCCAGAATTTCTTCTTTCCTTCTTTTAAATTGAGGCCATGCTTGTCTCAGGGATTTTCTTCTCTCTCATTTTCTCCTTTGAAAGTAATTTCTTGAGACTACACAAAAAGTGGTCTTAATGGAAAAGAAATCAAATGTACAAAAATATCAGGGGTTCCAGGTTCTCATGCTAATTCTGGCATTTGCTGGTTAAATTATCTCAGGGAAAATACAAACTGTGTGGGCCTCAGTTTCTGAATCTGTACTGACAATGACAGTTAATATTTATTAGGCATCTACTGTGTGCCAGGCACTGTATTACTCCATTTGGTTTTTCAAGACTCTTGTGAGAATTAGGTACTATTATTATGCTCATTTTATTAATAAGGAAAATGAGGACAAAGAGGCAGCCAACTTGCCAAATATTCTATAACTGGTAGGCTCTGAAGTTTCAGATGTGAAACTCAGGTATTCAGACTTTCAACTGCTCTTTTAAACCTAAATTCTGTTCTTGCTCCAACATTATGATTAGGTCTAGTTTTCCATTATATATTGTATTATTCTTTTGTTTCTTGGCTTTTGGTTTTTTTTTTTTTTGGAGACAGTCTTGCTTTGTCTCTTGGACTGGAGTGCAGTGGTGTTATCAAGTTCACTGCAGTCTTGAAATCCTGGGTTCAAGCGATCTCCCTGCCTCTGTCTCCTGAGCAACTGGGACTACAGGTACATGCCACCATGGCCAGCTAATTAAAAAATGTTTTTTAATGGGGACGAGATCTCACTGTTTGCCCAGGCTGATGTTAAACTCCTGAGCTCTGGTGATCCTCTGCTTTGGCCTCCCAAAGTGCTGGGATTACGGGTGTCGGCCACTGTGCCCAGCCAGTATAGTACTTTCTAATTAAAATAGGATAAGAAATTTCAAAATGACTGTATTATTTCCACCTCATTTTTTATACAAAAGTTTTGTCGAAGATAGAAAGATCCCTGATTTATGTAAGATTGTTACCAACAAGTAACTAAAAGCAAAAAGTGAAACATTAATACTGCTTTTTATACAGTGTTCGTTCCAGAAAAGTTGTTTTATGGTGATGTTCTGGTTGTGTTATTCATGTGAAGCTCAGCTATTTGTTTCTAGGAACTTCAGATTAAACAGAGTACATAGAGAAGCGACAAATTATCCTATTATTTGACACAAATCTAGGCAAACTTGCTTTCTAATCTCAATGACCTAAACAGTTTATTAATAAAACATTTAATAAACAGTTTACTTAATAAAACATTTTTTTCCCCTGTTTTATGAGTATTTTTCCTCTAGTGCCACTTCATCCTTTTGTAGTACACTCAAGGAGGAGAAAAGCCATTATCTGATTAGAATGAGTAGCAGGAGTTTGGTGGGTGGGTATGTCATTTTGATGTATTGTAGTGCATGTGTTTTTACTACATATATTAGCTGTTTACTGGAGCATCAATAATAATGTCACTGTCAGATATACTGTGGAAGGTAACGGGAAAACAGCTAGCAAGATGAAGGATATATATAATAACAGCTAGAGTATATATTTGTATGTGTGTGGAGGGGGAGTTAAAGATTGGCCAGAACATATGCATTTAAACTGCTGTGTTTATCCCAACCTTAAAATACAGCATTAAACATTGTAATTATTGTGGACACCCACAAAGCTGCGCAAAATTAAATGACAGACTGAACTGTGAACAGTAATGAACAGAACGCAAAAGCACTTGGAATGGAAATTGATACAGAGGATGTAAATCTGTAGTATAAAATCCATAATATGTATTCCCCAGGGGGACATGATTTTGGTTCACTAGCTTAGCATTTGATGTGTGGGACCATGCCATCAAGTTGTCTGAGAGAGGCTATTGGGGTACTGCAGGGTGTAACATGTGCCTTGTGCCCACAGGACGGTGTCAGTGCTATTGGTATTCACATTTCTTCTTTTTTCTTTTTCTTTTTCGTTTTTTTTTCTTTTTTTTTGAGACGGAATCTTACTCTGTTGCCCAGACTGGAGTGCAGTGGCGCCGTCTCAACTCCCTGCAACCTCCACCTCCCAGGTTCAAGCAGTTCTGGTGCTTCAGCCTCCCCAAGTAGCTGGGACTACAGGCGTGTGCCACCACGCCCAGCTAATTTTTTTGTATTTTAGTAGAGATGGGATTTCACCATGTTGACCAGGCTGGTCTCGAGCTCCTGAGCTCAGGCAATCTACCAGCCTTGGCCTCCCAAAGTGCTGGGATTAGAGGCATGAGCCCACCACATCCGGTGCACATTTCATTTTCAAACATAAGTAATACAAGGATATGTTTTCCTATAAAAACATCGTATAGAATCATACAGAGTAAAACATAAAAGTCTTTCTCCAGCTTCCTTCCCGCACTTCTACTTCTGTTTTTCAGAGATAATCCAAATGTGTCTATTTTATGGATGGAGGATATATACCAAACTATTGGTCTGTGCATCATGTATAGTATACACATCGACATATGTATTTACTCCTGTGTACAGTACTGTTTCGGTTACTGGTCAAAATATTTTTGTCATCAGTGGCTTTATATTCCTGTCTCTACCTTGTTATGAGGTGTCTATCATATAATTTAATAGAAGGAGGTCCAGTCTTTTTTCTCTATTGGCATAAACAGAACATCACACATGATTCCAAGATCGGAGAGGAGGAGCAGGCTAAATTTTCTTATAAAAAAGCATTTTCCAAACAAAAAATGGCAGCAATGGTGATAGCAAGTAAGTCAATTTCAAGTAATTCACCAAGTATTATTTTACCTTTTCAGGATTTAATTTGATTTATAATATATACATTTCTAGTTGAATGAATTAATTGCTGAGCAAAATAAGCAGTTAGGCACTACATGAAGTGGTAATTTATATACTTTTCAAAAGCACTGTTTTAGCAGATACAAGCTCTATTTTATATGGATAATTACAGACCTCTTTAAAAATGTGAATCGTATTTTTGGGTTTACATTTTACGCTTAGTTGTAGACTGATTTGATTCCTATTTGATGGGTAGAAAATTAATCCCGCATTAGTAAGCACTTAGCAGAGTGATTTAATAAGTTGGTTTCTAGACTGCCATACCCAAGGCCGTGATAAGGAAGGAAGTCAAGCTTTGTTTACTTCATAAATGTTCTGTGCTCGGCCTCAAACTGATAGGCTTTGTATGGAATGTACTGTAGATAAGTCAGCTTTGTATCTACCTGTAAACACAAAGGAAATGCTACATAAAGTTTAAAACGATTTGGTTGATTTGGTTGTTTTTCAGTGTTTGACCTCCACAGGTGTCTGGAGCCGGAAGTTTTTCTTTTCTCCCTTTACCTTTGCCTGCTGCGTGATCTTATCTACTCCCATTACTTCAAGGGGCATCTGTATATTATTCCTTCTCAGGACTCTGTCTCCAGCCTCCTTTCTCCTGATTTCCACTTGGCTGTTGCACAGGTGTCTCTGGGGTAACATGTCTAAGTCTGAGTACATTATCTTCCCCTAGACCCCCTTCCCTTCATGTTTTCCAGCCTCAGTGAACAGTTTCACCAGCCACCCAGCAGTCTGAGTTGCCAGGTGTCATCTCCGATTCTCATCCTTTCCTGGCCACACATCCGTTTAATCATCACATTGTGCTGATTTTACTATCTCACTACCTAAAGATCTGAAGTGGTTCCCTTCTCGCCAGCTTCTCTAGTACTACTTGTTACCATGGTCTCCTTCTCTAGTACTACCTGTTACCATGGTCTCCTTCTCTAGTACTACCTGTTACCATGGTCTCTTTTCTGGATTAGCTTCATGGTTACTACGATGCTTTCCCACTTCTAATTTAGTTTCTACACAGGAGTTAGAGTGATGATTATGCTCTAAGTCCTGGGGGTTGGTATGATAAGTAATAGGCAGTGAGCCAGTAAATAAGATCCTGACTTTGGTAAAGCTTCTGTTATGGAGTAGAGAGACAGTGACAGATGCCCATGATTATATGATTGACTGTGGTTGGGCTGAGCACAGACTCACCTGTGTGTAGGTGGATACAGAAGGGTTTCCTGTAGAGGTGACATTTAACCTGAAATCTAGAAT